ATTGATGGCCCCTTTTAATATAGCGATTTCCCAAGCTTATCTCAGATGTGGCACAAGGCCGAAAGTATGGAGCACCCAATGAGGATCGAACTCACTACTCAGTCATAATTGTTCTAGCGAGACAAGCTTGCTAATCATTACACCATGCCGAGATGCTCTATGGTCCTTTTAATATAAATAGGTATTGTTGGTCGTTTTAGTTGAGTTAAAGAGAAATAACTGAGGCATCCGGAAGAGGAATGGCAGGTGGAGCTAGAACAATCTACCCTAGTGGGCAAAATAAAGGATTCGGTTCAAAATTCCTATCATCTGTCAAATCAACGGCCGAAACGTTGTGAATATGGCAATGAAGATGAAGATAACTGTCCGAATAATATAAATAATGTAAGTAATAAAAATCCTTATACATACGAAAAGCTTCCTGGAGGATAGATAGATAGATAGATAGATAGATAGATAGATAGATAGATAGATAGATAATGGGTTCTGATTGGTGTAGATGAAGCATACAAAACCTTTTATTTCTTTTATGTTGATTGTATTGAAACAAAGTTAAAAGGTCTCTTGGTTATGTGCGTTTTACCTTTTTTGCTCAGAAATAATTTATAGGAAGTAAGAATAAGAACAGGTAAAGATGGTCAAGCTCAAGTCAGCCTCGTCCTGACTTGATATGACTGAATCTCCACTTCATGAGTAGAGCTGCTGAAAACACGTCTGAACGATAACGTTGGAAAGTGGCGAGAGAAAGATTCTCTCCTTTCCGGACGTGGGGTCATAATGTATTTTTAGTCTTTCCCCTCTTTCCACTCGATCGAAATGTGGAATAGTCCATTATTTGTGAGGTGTTGACAGGAAGTCACGGTCGTGCAAACTAACGAAGGAAGGGACAAGCACATTTATAATAGGATGTAAGAAAATACACTTCTACCAGTATCACCCCACTGACGTGTGTAAATTACTCCTTGGAGTGATTTATAACACGTTTCTTTATCATCTCTCAGTTATGTCTCTGTGTTTGGGCAGAGTGCGCTCAGGGGTTACTCTGTCAAAGGACAGAGTTGCAAGAAAATTATACTGAGAGGTGCCCAGCCTTAGGGAACAGCTGCCCGAGGCCGCGCCCTCTCATAGCGCCAGACAGGGGGATCATTGCTCGCACTGATGCCAGCGGAACCGACGGTTGCGGGGGCTGTGGGCAATTTTTGTTCCTTGCCCAGGTGTTCGCGCTCAGGTCCCCACATTAAAAAAAACCTTGTGTCACATCTCGTCTCAGTGGGGAGACAAAGTAAATACCGTGTCACCCCACTGGCCATGATGCCCCTGAACTGGAATTGATTCGCTCCCTATTGGTAATATGTGCCTACTTCTGGTCCAATGCACTTCGCCCTCTCCTCCAGCACCTAACGACGCTTTTGTGACCTTCAACTTGAGGCAGGTGGTAAAACTGGAAAGTAATACTAACCACATGGAGCTATTAGTTTAGATATACCATAAAAAATAGCGCCATATTTCACGAAGCCCTTAATTCTGATGCGGATAAATTTATTACTTAATAACAATTGAAAAGAACTTATAGAATCTTATATTAATACGAGTTTAACCACGCAGTGAAAATGACTGCACATTTTGTTAACTTATAGTCTATATAATAAATACGAATGTCAGTGTGTCATTATAACACTTTTTCAACAGAAAGGGACACAACTCTCTAACTTTCAATAGCTCATGTTACAGAAATTTTGGATTCCCAAGTTTTCATTACTGCGATTGTTTTCGGCGATTTTTTTTACGTCATTTTGTACGATAATAATTTTTATAACCGGGAAATAAATTTGGGAATAATCTACATTAATTGCAAAATCCAGCGAAAGACACCATAAAATAAAAATAGTTGCTTGTATGGAAAGTAAGGACCTACGTACATCAAATTGTCTTCAAATTAAGTGGCGGCAGAAGAATTATCGTTGAACTTTTAAATGGTAAGCTTAAATATTAATGCAATACTTAAATACAACGATCAATGTTGAGTTCTTCTGTAGTTTATTGTTACTAATCGCATACGGCAGCAGTATTCCTCGCAAAAACATCCTCCGCCAACAGAGGACCAGATTACAATTAAATGAGCCAAGGCTGCAGCGATGAAAAGAAAGTTCCGTGCAAATGAAAACCCAGATCAAACGGCAGCCAGGAGAGCGTCTAATGCTGGGAATATGCAAAGACTGAAGGACTCTCAAACTCCTGAACAAGCCGAAGGCCCAAACAAGAGCCCTCCGCAGCAGCTTGTTTAAACGCCGACCGATCGGGTGCCTTTTTAAGCTAGTATATAATAATTCTTTTGAGACCATAATTTTACCAATTCATCCAAAGCAAGGCGATAAAGCCACTAAGATGCAAGGGGTTACTGGGAGTGAAAGAATCAGAGAAAAAACGAAAAAAGGAGAGAAGACAATAAAAAAAAAACGATTAAGAAGACAGGATAACAGATGACATTGCATTTAAACGCGTGAAGAGCAAAGTTGATTGGAATGCAGGAAGCCGAAAGGGAGTTCCACAAGCAAGAAGTGCGAGAAAAGAAACTGTTAGCAGAACTTAAAATTACATATAGTAATTTCAACTGAAAAATTATGAGACGTAGCTGCCAATCTAGTACTGCGTTTAACTTCGAAGTACAAAAGAGGAAAGCTCATCATAAAAATTACCATGTAAATATTTATAGAAAAAGCACAGAAAGATACGTAATGACGACGGGGAAGTGACTGGATTCGAGATGTCAGATTAGAACCTATAACATTACAGATTCTTCTTTGTATTTTAGCAAGAATCTCTAAATACCTAACAGAAGCACCAGACCAGATGCAACAGCAGTATTCAATGTATGTATGAATGATAGATATGCTTTTTAAAAATTAGGAACAAAATATGGGTTGTCCTAAGGGACACTTGTATTAATGTAAAAAGATCATTTTGCGATTAGATAAGAAAGATTGAATCAGATCAAAAATTCGCCCAAAAACACAATCGCAAATCAACTTGGGAAGAAGACGAGCAGGTCAAAAACCTTCAAGATATCTGAAGCATTCTTATCTAAAGATTGACAAGCTCTCTAAGCAATGACTATCAACGCATAATCAATTGAGCTAAAGAATCGAAAGCCATATTTGTCTGAAAGAAGATCCCACGAGATGAAATGCTTAACCATTTCGGAGTCCATTAGAGTCACTGAGACTTTACCAAAACGTGTCAGTCGTAGATTGATCGATAGCTAGAAAGACTAAATGATCCACTTGTGTTCTTAAAAAAAGAACTACAGAAGAGAATTTCCTACAAAAACGAAAGCAAGAAAACAAGGCATTTATTGTAGAGTTTAGAGAGAACAAGAGCCATTTCTTAAGGACTATTACAGAGATACCATGAAGACCACGTGCTTTGTGGGGAGCCAGGGTAGAGAGCATCATCTGATTTCAGGAGTTAGGAGCATCGTCTGATTTCTGTCAAAACGTTTCGGGTGTTATTCCCCGACCTTCTTCAGAACTAAACTCTATATTCAATCTACCAGAGTAGTTATTTACAGTATTTACAATGTTCGGATCGTTTGATTCCGGCCCGAAAAATGATCTAGCACGACAGATTGAACCGACTTTTCTAGCAGAAGACGTATCAATTGTTTCAATAAAAACGTCAGCTCAAGGAGGCGGAATGAGTCACTCTCTTGCTGATAGAGGGCAAAAACGCTTTTCTTAGACGATTAAAAAAATAGCAATTTCGTTTTGGAGGTGTTAAAATTAACAAACCATTCCTTACCCCAGTTAACAACAGATTAAATATCATTTTTTAGATAGATCGCTAATCTGACCTTATCAAACCTATAAGAGTTACTAAGAGAGGTATAAATATTTGTGTCTTCAGCATAGATATCAATTCGTGAACTGATGACATAGAGTTTAGAGAGAGAACAAGCGCCATTTCTTAAAGATTATTACATGGCTACCATGAAGACCAGATGCTTTGTGAGGAGCAGGGTTAGAAATGATACCTGAAACAATGGAGGAAGTTCTATGCATATAACTCAATAGAGACTCTATTCTAAGTGGAAAGTCATGTCAAGATATTCCAGGCGTGTCAAAAGTAGAATTGGAAGAGAATTTACGCGCAAAACATTCTGCGTCATCGGAAGATGATAACATATTTTCATAACAGATGAAAATGAGTGAAGAGAGGAGGGATAGAGGGCTTAACATTATTTAATACGCTATTGGGGAGACGTCAGTATTCACGAGAAACAAACTTGTTTGAGGCTATACGCTGCCTCATTCTGTCAAAGAAAACCTTAGCCTCATCGAGGACATCTACAATTATTACGAGTAGATAAAAAGAAGCATCTGCTGTGATCAGAACTATCACTAGTAAAAGTAATTTCTGTGTGCTATAGCGGCTGAACAGGCAGGTGGGAATGAAGAAGCTTGTGGTTTCCTCTGGTATTTACGAGATGGCCCAAAAGCATCGATGGCGGTTTTTACCCTAGAAAAAAATCTAATTGGTACAATTCTTAATAGGAAGGAAAAGAAAAATGGGTGACTTGTTTTTCGTTGGGGATAGACCATTTCTCAGTGATTTTTTTTTTGTTTCATTTTTTTTCTTTTTCATATTCCTAACTTGAAATGTTTAATCTATAGTAAAATGAAAAAACTGTTAAAAAATATGGTTATTTCTCGTTGTAGTACCAATATATTGGTTGTTTTTGTTTAGTGACATATCAAACTTTATCGGTTATTTAATACCGAAATGTAAATCATTTGTAGGGAATTTTATTTTACTTCTCAGATAATAATAGTTTTAGCGATACAAACCTTAATAATTAACCCTGGGGGAGGATAAATCGATTCATGCATTTCCCGTGGGGTATTTGCGCATAAGTGAATATAACGTGCCCAACTAGAATTGGAACTCGGCTCTGCGATTAACAATTCCCAACCATTATCCATTACACCAGCCGCACATCCAAGCTTACGTCACCTGGTATTCCCAAGTGGCCAGTCATCTAGGTAATGACCAGGCTCGACTTTGCTTCACTTCAGTGATCCTACGGGAAGCGGTGTTTCAATGTGGTGCGACCGTAAGTCTTTCAGTGTCTTGCATCTCCTCCAAAAGGACTAGGGTACCATTGTCCTAAATAGGTCAAGTTTCGTTAATATTAAATGCCCGGATATTTACCCGGACACTTTTATCTGAATTTATTAGGACAAAGATATATGATTATTTTATTCCCACAATTTTGGGTTGCAAACCAAGAGATCTTTCAGTCTTTACAATCTGTTGAATCTCCGTAACATATCTGATTTAGGCTATAATGCTCAAGTTTTCACTAATATCGCCATCTGGTCTCTGTCATAACGTTTCGGGCGTTATACTCCGGCCTTCTTCAGAAATAAACTCTTTATTTAATCTACCGGAGTAGTTATTTACACTATTTACAATGTTCGGACTGTTATCGTTATCTTTGTTGCCATATTCACGACATTTCGACCGTTGTACGCTCCGACCTTCTTCAAGTGATTGGAATTTCGAACTGGACCCTTTATTTCGTCCACCAGGGTATATTGTTTTAGTTCCACGTGCCACTGAGTATCATTTATTTCCCTTTAACTCAACTATACAAGTTTTTTGTTCACCTCTGCTGTAAACCAGGTATTGAACTCTGAACTGTTTTGGCCAAAGTCACTGGATTACCAACGCTTTTATCCACTGCTCACCCTGTTTTCTATTTCTTTTTTAATCCATTTACCCCAAACAAGGAAATAAAGCGACTAAGATGCGGGGAGGGGGGGGCTTGTTGAATGTGAAAGAATATCAGAAGAAAACTAAAACAACATTAAGGAGAGTTTGATTTGGTTTGGTTTGTTTTACGGTATATCAATCTCAATGGGTTATTTAATGCGGACAAAATTTTTATTGCTGGTAATATTTTGTTTTGTCAAAAATCAATTGCTGGTAATATATTTTTCAAAAATGTATTGCTAGTAATATTTATTTTTTAAAAACATATTGTTGGTAATTTTTTTTCCAAAAATGTATTGCAGGTAATAATTTTTTAAAGCATTTCTGGTATTAAAACCTATTCGTAAAAAACTTTCATAGTGTCTTGATCCCAGTTTTGGGTGGGTAACTATTTGCCCATAGTTGGGTCCCTAACAGGTGCTACCACCCCGGGTCAGGTTAGACTTGAGAACACCAGCAATTAAGAGGTGGTTCCACGCTCCTCAAAACCTCCTAATCAGAGGCCTTGCTGCTGGACGCAGTTTATCGTCTTACTCAGGACGCGGATGTAGTTTATCGTCATACCAAGGACGGCATTAAGAAGAGAGAACAATAAAAGAACAGAAATTAAGAAGGCGGTTTGGACATAGATAAATGATGGATGTTTATATTTAAGTCTATAAGGAATTACTTAGTTCGCTAAGAAGTAAATTTGGTCGTTTCTGTTAGAGCCGATAAGCATTTACTGGGTATTATCCCTTTACTACGGATGAAGTTGATGGGCAACGTCAAAATGGGCATTTTGTATCGGACACCAAGTGATGATCTCTTTCTGAGCCAAGTCACTGGATTACCAAAGCTTTTATCCACTGCTTACCCTGTTTTTTTTCTTTTTATTTCTTGTTGAATCCATTTGCCCCAAACAAGGAAATAAAGCCACTAAGATGCGGGGAGATTGCGCGTTAACGAATATCAGAAAAAAGAAAACATTATTAAGGAGAGAAAACAATAAATGAACAGGAATTAAAAAGACAGGAGATAACGATTGACGTCTTCTACTAAGTTGTCTGTATGGTTTGAACTCACTATTATAAATGAACGATGCTTTAATCTACTTTCGTATTATCCGTGAGATAATCTTAAACCTATAGATTTGAACCCTAAACCTAATTTTCTTCTTTCTTATCAGCTGCTGACATTGCTGCCGCTTGAATTCTTTCACATCCATTCTCTCTGTTCTTAATTCTGCTGCTGAAGTCATTGTTTCTTTTTCTTTATTAAAAACAACCATATGGAACTTATTTTTATGCTAGGTCTACTGATGAGGCCCTCATACGCGCTGATTCCTTCAGACGTGTGATTCTTGCTTTATTGAACTATCTGTCGATTCGATATCTCAATCAATAGGATGCCTATAAAATCAATAGGGTGCCTATAAAATCGATAGGGTGCCTATAAAATAATGCTTAGTGTTTATGAATTCATAACCAAAGCAGTAAAAATTCTTGGCGACTCCATTTTCTTTTCTTTTTTTTTTGAAGATCCCCGAGATCCAAGCCATTTTTGTCTGCTGCTGATCCTTTCATCGAATTCCGACCTGCCCACCACGTCCCCTACCACCGAAAGAAAGAATTTACTTCCGAATGTTCGCTCTTTGTAGTTGCTCGGTATTTCTTTTTTCGAGATAAATACCGCTTTATTAATCTGAAAAAAGATTTCCCAGAAGCAGTCTTAAATCGTACGGAATGACAAAAAGAATGCTTCACTTACATCACAGTGGATGAGAATTCATTTTCCGTAAAAAATGTAAAAAGCTTTAAACAGGGAGTTAATGTAGTATATGTAGAACAGTATGTACTATATAGATTGTATGCTCTCTCTCTCTCTATCTCTCTATCTCTCTCTCTCTCTATATATATATATATATATATATATATATATATTAACTGATTTAAAAATATGTTTCCATCGCTACACATGAATTACTATGTTTCAAAAACAGAAACTTAAAACTTCAAATTCAATTTTATAAATAAATACGGAGCTAGGGGCTTTAATTTAATTACATGACTGAATTTGAAGATTTTAGTTTCTGTTTTTGAAACATGGTAATTCCTGTATAGCGATGGAACCATATTTTTAAATCAGTTAATTTATAATATTTATGCTCTGTAAATTTGCATTGAGCACTGTTTTGTAAAAGTAAAAATATTAATAAGAACATCGGATCATATATCTTACTGTTCTTTTTTTTATCATAATATATATATATATATACCATGGAATATGAGTGTTTAAGACTTTTTATTATATATATATATATATATATATATATATATATATATATGTGTATTTAAAAAGGATGAAAGATAACCAGAGTACACTACTGACCTCTACGGTCTACTCAGGTGGTTTGTTCATCAAATCGACTACACGGAACTCAACAACTTAAGTACTTTCGAAACCGGAAGTAATGGGTAAAAATTTCTAACTTTAACCGGGTTCAAATAACCTCAATCTGAACTTCTTAAAATGTCTGCATTTGGTCATGATCTCCGACCTCCCGTTTAGCAATTCATTACTGTTTTTATATGTTGATATGGCCAGTTTCTCTTCTTGGCATAGCCTACACGTATTCTCGACCATTATGTTATTCCTTAAATTTCTTAAAACGCTCCATTTACTGCTTTGACTTCTGCTATGTCTCTCCAAAAACCTACAATAGTAGCTTGCTAGCTTCGTGCTGTACCTATGCTCCGGATTTCTAAAAGAGGAGGTGTAATTATACCACCTCCGCTTTATATATTTAATGTTCTGTAAATTTACATTGAGCACTATTTCGTAAAAAATAAAAACACCGGATTACATATCGTACTGTTCTTTCTTCATATACATATATATATATATATATATATATATATATATATAAATTCATTTGTTTGAACATTATTTTAATGGATACTCATATATGAGTATATGCTGTGTTTTTTATTATTAAACTGTATTTTTATTTATTTACATCTGCCGTCCTGAATATTCAAAAATGTTGGTAATAAAATATGCGCTTTGCGGTAGGATTCGAACCGGCGCTCCCTTGAGAAATCGTCATTAGACTTGGCGTGCTATAACCTCTAGGTCACGTAGGACCTCCTGACCAAGCCACGCCTGAATAGTTGTTTTGAACATATATCTTTATCTTCTCGAAATATACATATATATATTTCCCGATTCTCGAAATATATATATATATATATATATATATATATATATATATATATATATATATATATATATATATATATATATATATATATATATATATATATATATATATATATATATATATATATATAAAGTGTGGATGGTCCTGCACGAGGCCTTCACCACTATAATCAAATCTCATGTGCCGTTGTCGGGTTGTCGGTTTCCTGAAAACTGATCTGCTTGACCCTCATACGTCGGATCTCCACGGGAGAGTCGATTATATATATATATATATATCTTTCCCGATTTTCGAAATATACATATCTGCTCTGTTTCGTATCCTAACGTAAACAAAGTCATTTTTTTGGAAATGGTTTAACTCTCGACATGTTTTTTTTTATTTATTTGTTTTTTTAATAAAGCAACGTTATTTTAATAATAAATAACTAGTATCCATTAAAAATAACGTTTTACATTGAGCATATTTTGTAAAATAAAATATATATATATATATATATATATATATATATATATATATATGTGTGTGTGTGTGTGTGTGTGTGTGTGTGTGTGTGTGTTTGCGTGTGTTTGCATACGTATTCGTGTATGTGAGAAAGTATTATTCCGTAAATAAATAGACGAACGATAAATAAGTTGACACCAATCCACCCCCAGCGCGCCATTTTTGGGGAGAATTCGCTACACAGTTCCAACGCCAATACAGCGGCCAATTGCGTACGTATGCACACAACGACACATGGATGCGTATATGCGCCCAGTCCCACACTGTTCATTTATGTTTCTATGAGCTGCAATGCGTGGACGTGCGTGTGTGTGTGTCTGCGTGCGTATGAATGGCATCCCGAGGAAGACGCAGAGGAGAATTTTTCCTCTCACTTCATCAAACACCGACATACAAAACGATAAATAAATCCAAAATTTCAAAATTAATCACTTTGTCTGACGACCGCAAAGGGCGTGAAACCCAGGGTTACAAACTCACATCAACACAACTATATATATATATATATATTTATATATAACTTTAGACGTTATTTTTAGTGGATATTCATGTTTGAGTAGACGCTCCGTTTATTTCTTAAACAGCATATTTTTTCGTCTCCGGTATGAGCGGGCATGTTTTTCTGTAAAAGGATT